AGGAGTGAAATTATTGGATCAGCCGGGTGTGATGCTGTAGGATCAGTACTGGACTGCTAACCACAAGGTCAGCAGTTCAAACCTACCAGCTTTTCCTCAGAAACCCTATATAGGATTGCTATGAGTTGGAACTGATGCTTAAAAACAGCAACAACACAGTAGTTTTGAGGGAACACCACACTGTTTTTCACAGTGGCTGTTCCATTTTGCATTTCCATTCCAATGGATAATGGTTCCAATTTCCCCATATCCTCACTAATATTTGTTATTTTCTGGTTTTGTCTTGTTTATTTACTTATTTGAATCTTAGCCATAATGGTGGTGGTTATGTGCCATCAAGTTGGTTCTAACTCATAGCAACCCTGTGTAGGGTTTCCGAGGCTGTAAATCTTTATAGAAGCAGAAAGCCTCATCTTTCTCTTGCAAAGCAGCTGGTAGATTTGAACCACTGACCTTTCAGTTAGCAGCCCAACTTGTAACCTACTTCACTATCCTGGTTCCTCTTAGCCTTAATTGTTTTTAAGTGCCGTCGAGTCAGTTCTGACTCAACAATCCTGTGTAAGGTTTCTGAGGAGCAGCTGGTGGGTTCAAGTCCCCGACCTTTGTGGCTAACAGTCCAGTGCTTATCCTATGGCACCACACCAGGACTAATGGGCATTAAATGGCATCTCACTGTGGTTTCGATTTACGTCTCTCTGAGGTCTAATGATGTTGAGATTTTTTTCATGTGTTTTATAGGGCTGTTGATTTTTTAAACTACAGTGGACCTGGAGAAAGGGAAATGGAGATAGGGAAGTCAAGAGATAACAAAGCTTTGTCATGTTTGTCTGTTTTGAATAAATACTCCCCAGATTGCTACATACATGCCTTCAGTTCATTTCCAGACTTCTGAAAAAGTAGATTCCAATTTCTTTTGCCAGTCTTCTCATTGCTTTTATGGAGGAGAGAAATTTTGGAGGCCTTAACTCCATCATTTTCACTGATACTGCTCTTTATAATACTTACTGTTCTTTATAACTCATTGATTACACAATACACATAATAAAAAGAAAATGAGAGACAGAAGTGCTTCTTCTAGCAGACTACACAGTGAAGTTAAAATGAACTTGAGCAGTAATTCTCCAACTCTGGTGAGGGGGTAGATCATTTGTTGTTGTTTGTTTACTTTTTAATCCATCGTAGTATGGGTTAAATCCTACTGCACATGGCTATTTCACATGCAACTTGCAGTACAAGCTCAACAACCTGAGCTGGTGAATATCCTGTTCCATGAGAATTTGTCACTGATCTTGCTCTTGGAGATCTGGGCAATGTCAAATGGCTGTAAATTTCGAAACATTCTCTATTGATTTGTCACTAAGTAACAAATACGACTTAACTAGGAAACAATCTTGAATAGGTTAGTACATGCCCATTACCACCACAGTTTTAAACAGATCTGTTTTGGCTTTATTTTACATTCAAGCATCAAGGGAATGTGTCTTATAGACGCCGTGAGATAGTACACTGGACCACAAGGTCAGTTTGAACTGCAAGGCC